TGTCCCTTATGTATTTTTTGACCGGATCTATTCTAAGGTCTCTTAACATGTCATTCGTGCGGATATACCATATGGCACTTTGAAGAGTCTTGGGAGAGCCTGACTTTGACACTGATTATTTGCGCCAAGGGAAATAGAGAAGTTTTGTTTATAATTAAAATACAATTAAGTTAGGCAATTCTTAATCAATGCGATATTTTCATTGTACTCGTATGACTTACTTCAATAAATGTCGTTAACTAGTCTTATATATATGCTTATATAATACAATTATATGTTGTAAACTACGTTTTTCAATTTAAAATAAATTGAAATACTGAGAAGATCTATTACAAGAGGTCACAGTATAATAAAATTTTTAATTTTCTAAATACATCTACTTCACTTTAATTGCAGAAATCAATTATTTCAATATAAAATTTAATAAAAATTGTGGAAATTTCGAAAACTAAGCAGTTGTTAGTATATAACAAAACTACTTAAATTGCTTCCAAAGTATTTTAATAGAAAAGTAGAATTATTTTTGACATATTCGAATTGATTAAGATTGACACAGAAAATTGTTTACCAAACGATCATTTATCGTTATTAGAAGTTAAATGCTTAAATTACTTATGGAATTTTACTTACTTACGCAAATTATTTTTAAAATAAAATAAATTTTAAAATAATTAAATTCAATTAAAAAAATGAATTTAAACAATTGCTGTAATTAAATTCAAATGAAAATATTTCATGAAGTACGAATAAATGGAATAAATGGAATTATTTGTGAAAATTTAAATTTTCACAAATAATTTTTTATGTATTTTTTTACTGTTAACTTCCTTTTCTTGCAACAGCTTTGTTTAAGTAAATTATGTAATACTAACTATTTAGTCATATGCAAAAGAAAAAAGGTACTAAATCTAAACAAATGTTTATGCCGCTCTTGAACTAACAAAAGGAAAAAAACGCAAGATCATTAAAAGTGCCAATAGAATAAATAAAAAAGTTGACAGAACTTCTGCAGAGAAGAATACGGCGAGCAAATACGCTTTGTTGCGAAGCCAACCGGGTTCAATGTGCTTTACCTGTAAAACATAAACTAAACTAAGAAAAGCAACTTCAAATCATCCGCAAAATCATCATCAGCAACAACTTCAATATCATCAACATCATTATCATCGCAAACATCATGATCGTCATGATCGCCATGATCGCCATGATCAGTAACATTGGGCGATCGTTGCTAGCGGCAACGCCAGCAATGAAAGTTAGAAAAAATGAAAAAAAGAAATGGAAAACTACAGGAGAAAAAACAGGAAAATAAAGAGTCACGTTGACCAGTGAACGCAGTTGCAATATTGCAGCATCTCTACAGATTGCCAACAGCAATAGCAGCAGCAGCAACAACAACAACAACAACAGCAACTACTACTACAGACCATCACTTGCAAGAACAATTTTAGTGTAGTGCAATAAACGATGCAAGTAAATGCAGTAAAAATAAAAAGTAAAATTGCTAAGGCACGTTCGATCTTTAACCACAAATATTCTAAATTGCTACAACTTCATAATGAACATTCGAGACTTCATTACGAGGAAAACCGCAGGAGAAGAGCACAGGTTGCATATATTGTTGTAAACCACAAACGATTGCAATAAGAACAGTGATCTGAACAATGTTGCCGATGCTCTGTTGGAGAGTTCACGTACTGAAAAGTATTGGTACAATCCGATTTTAAGATCTGTAATTACTTGAAAATTAAATACATTGCAAAAGTCGTCATTATATATAATGAAGTTAAGGAATGGTATTGTATTTCCCTATATAATATTATATAAAAGTATATCATTATTAAAATCTGGCACTTCAATCTTTGTTGCACCATTTCTGTTTCTTGCAATCGTCGACGACATTGACCTAATAGGTTAGTTTATGTTGGAGTGACTACCTTATAGACATAAGTCCACTTGAGCACAAATAAAGGCTCGCATAGACAACATCGAAAAAACAGACACGACTTTCTCCTTTAAATAAAAATGAGGTAACCTGATAGGTCAATAAACTTTGTTAGATTCCGAATAGTGAAGGTTGACTGCTTTTTAAGTTGGGTGAAAAAAGATACACCAAAGGTAAAAATAGGTGATGACAAATAAGATGAAACCCTCTTTTGCAGAGATACACTTACGAGAAAAGTGATAATGGGGTTTACTATTAATGGGACAAGTCTCAGTTATTCTTGCCCTAACACACTGTAACCTGTTTGCACCGATATTGTTGTGCTGAGTACGTTCTGCTTTAGTTGAAACAGGTGAGTGGCACGTTTCTTGTATAAATTGAACCAAGTAAGTCTTGTAGGCTGACAAGAATCTTCAACTCAGACTTTTTCAAATAAAGTGAAATTTTTTTATTTGATAAATAATTTAGTTGTGAATTCGATACCGATGTGGTTAAAGTAAATTTTAGGAAGCAGCGTACCCGTTTAAGTAAGCTTGCCAATCATACAGTAACATTCGAATATTCTTGTGTCCAGATCCATAAATATGTGTCCAAGTCCATAGAGATGCCTAAGTACCGAGTAAGACAAGGCACGGGACTTCTTGCTTTTGCACAAATGTGCTAGTTAGTCTAGCTAATCTGATCCTTCTTTAAATAAATATATTTAAATAAAATATTTTATTTTAGCATACATTTTTGTTTCAATATCTTGGAAAATATTTAATTTTGATTAAATATAAAAATAGAACATTATATATTACGATATATACCAATGTAAACTATATGTTTTCAGAAATGTAATCTGATAATCTCTTCACATTTTTGTGTGTATGGAGTAGAAAATAAAAGAAAAATTCATTAGTGAAATGCATGAATTTCAGTTTCATTATCAAAAAAAACCTTGTTGCGCATTTCTTTAATATGCACGAATTTTATTTTTTTACCACACCCTACATATCTCATTAGATGGTATACTCAGTTCTGTATTTTTCTACGAATATACGAGAAAAAGTAGATCAAAAATCATCTGCATTTTTATAGTTTACACATAATGTTTTGAGTATTATTTTTATGAGTTCGCGATCATGGAAACATGGAAGAGAATGAAATAAAAGACAGGTTAGCCAGCTTTGGCGCTTCTATGGACGACTCCCTAGAGGTGCCAGCATATAAATCCTTAATAACCTTAACGGGAGGAACCTATTTCCACTTATTATAGCTAGCTAATAATAAGTGGAACAACGTGTAAAACGTTTTCGTGTTCCCTTTCTTCATACAATAGGACCATATCTACATAACTTATTACCAGTAATCGATTTATTATCACCTAGCTTATTGCAGTGCTTTCAGATCATTGGTGTATGTGACCCCACATAAAAAAACTGCAACATCTTTAGCAAGTGTGTGTTGTAGACAAATACAATTAAAATACCTTTCAATGAATTAATAATATCGGTATTAATTAACATTATAATTCGTGAACGGTTTGACTTTCTCTACAATCTGACTTCACTCTCCTATATCTCGGTGTAAGGCTTATCACTTGACACAGAATTCTCTCTTATTTTTATTGATAATAAAATATGTTTTTTGTCATCGTCTGTGTTTGATATGTTTTAAGCTATATTTAAGAAACTTTTTCGGATTTACAATGTGATTAATCCATACCAATCTCCGTTGTTTAACAGCAGTATCAGTTTTGGAGTATTGAGTGAGTTTTCATTCGTGACATCCTAACAATGGTGAAATTTGATTCCACTGAACATTGGGTTAAAACTGTAATGGAAAGTTACGGTGACTGTGGTTAACTCATAAACTTACGGAGAAAGGATGGTAGCATTTATGCTTTCAGTTAATGACTTGCATTATTTTCACAGGGTGCTGTGGCTCAAAAAACAGCAAAGGTTTAGATGGGGCTTCAGACTTGCATTACTTCAACCTTGTGCTGTGCTTAAAGAACAGCAGAGGTTTAGATTCAACCTCTTTGTTCAAATTTCAACAAAGAGGAAATTCTATTCAAACATATAACTTCCATTGATATAAGGAACAGCAGAGATTTAGATAGTGCTCGTTCCTAAACAAAGAGAAAAATATATTCAAACATATGATTTCCATTGGTACCTGCAGAATAAATTACAATAAAATGTTTATCGATGTATTATTTTGATATGTATATATATTGAGAACACGGTGATGTAAAGCCCTTACGGCAGGTAGCGACGTAAAACAACTAAGGACTCATGCAGCAGTATTTCATTGCTTCCTATCTGCCAACTACATGTTTACTAAATATCACGCAGAGTAATTCCCTTTCCTCCATAACTTTTACTATGTTAAATAGCTAGAATTTTTTTACCTCTCCATTTTCATCTCATCGTCACATCTTGCAGTAGCACTGTTGGGTGTAGCGGTAAGTGAGTACGTTTTTGTATCTGTTAAAATAAATTGATAAGATAACATACTGCAAATTTATATTTGTGTTGAGTAATTTATTGCACTTTTTTCTTTATGAAAAATAAATAAAAATATATATATATGTATATATAACAACTTCGTTATTTTATATATAACGAATGTTCAAAAATGATAAAAAGCTTATTTTTGACTAAAGTAATTGAGCAAGTTTCTAAACACTTATAAAAACATTTCACTCGCGAGGTACCCGTAATAACAGAAAAATAATTTTTATTATACAAATTTGACATTGAAGATACAAAAAACGAATTCTCAATACTAATAATACATTTGCATATGATTTGCAATTACTTTTGCCTCCATAGCTGCTTTGGATGAGCTGCTGTTCAAATATTGACTTCAAGGTGGCTGCTAGTATTGGTAGTGCCGATGTTGAACATGATCGATGCATTGGTGGTGGTGTTGGGCCAAATTTTGACTTTACCACTGATAAGCCGGGGTACTGCGTTTTCTGCAATCGAATTCAGTTGAATTTTTGCAATCGTAGTTCGAAGACGTACAACTTAAACGGAAATACTCTTTTTTCAAACTCATTTATATTTTCAAGGACTTTATAATATATAGATATATAAATATATATTTAAAAATATTATCAAAATAAATATTTACCATTCTTGAAGCGATTAAAAAGTGAAAGTGCAGCGACAATATCAAAAAATTAGCTAGTGCCGTTATCGCATTTGATAAGAATACAGGTAAATGGAACAAAACTATTTATGTGCAAATAAAAGTGAAATCATTTCTGGGTTCTTAGATTAGAACTAGAATTTCTAGGTCAAATTTTAATTATCTCTAGTATTTGGGTAAAAACTATTTAACAGAAATCTTTTGTAGATTATGTGTAGAACATGGAAGACGGTCATGATTTAAAAACTGCTCTACTATATATCTCTTATGATTCTCTGTATTTAATTATTTATATAGAATTACATTTGTTATATAATGAAGTTTTTTATACTTAATTTTATGGCTGAACTTTTAATACCAAAACATGATAAGAAAAATGTAATCTGTGAGTGCAATAATATATGTACATAGAATCTCTCCAATATTAAACTAAAAATAAAATAAAACTTGGTTTGTGGATCTAGCCTTTTTTGTGCGGAGACATCTGTCATATCTATGAACATTCATATCTATGAACGTTTGAAAACTTTATCAATACCCTTAATCTGCCCAAGTTTATTTATAAGACTTTTTTGTAGATACCACAAGGAAACTCAAATATCACTGCACACATTTGTTTCTTCATATAATAATAATTTAGAAGTTCTAGTTCAATTATATATGTTATATGGATTGAACTTATTTGTGTACCAATTTCGACGCATCGGCTACGGATTTTTAGCGATGTCAGTTAACGACGTGCTTGTGAGCGGTATGGTGACTTACCAGATTTTATTGTAACCCGCATTATATTCAAATACAATATCGTTGACTAAATAAAATGCATCTACTTCTTAACATAGATTAGATTTGACCGCAACCAATCGCGACATATGAGATCTATTGCGATCATTTTCTTTAATGGAAATAGTGAATGCTTCTTGATGTCTTAAACAAGTAAATTTCAAACCTGAGCATGGTCACCCTTGGATCCTTAAATATTTTGTTAAAAAAGCTCAGAGTCATATGATAACCTCTTGAATTTACTACCTTTTACCTACTTAGACCTATCTAAGAATGTACTGATGACAATAACATATATTCCAACTTTTTAACATTACATTCAAAATGATTTTCTGTAAGTAATATTTACTACCCACCGATTAATATTATACGTATATTAACATTTCCTTAATAATAGCTTTTCACACCACAAAAAAAACAATCGAATCATTTCTATAAAAAAAAAAGTAACTAGTTGTTGAGACCTAGCTGTTGAGATCTTCCAAAATTACTAAAGCTAATTAAACAACATCAATCTGAACAAATCTCTCTCAAATCCAAAATAATTGAAGAAGATATTAATAAATGCGTTAGTAGTTCTGTTGAAGGACCTTAGTTATATGATCTTCAACAATCCGTTTTTATTAAAATTAAAATTCTTAGCCATTACTTCTCTTTACCGAATCTTATTGTGATATTTTAATTTTTTATTTATTTCTCTCACTGTATCTCTCTCACTTTCTTTATCTTTTGCTTTTGCTATCTTCTCATTCTCCTTTCCGATCTAATTTAACAGTGTCTGTCAATAACTTTAAGTCCCTGTGTTACATAACATTGTTATATAGTATTTTTTTATTATATAAGTTTTGCATCAGAACCAACTATTATTGTTTTTCTCCTTCTTTCCCTCTCTTTTTGTCATCAATAGAATTTATTTATATGAAAATAAATTTAATATTTACAACATCCTTGATTTTTTATGATGTAATAAAATTTTTCTTATACTTATAGATCACTGCCATATAAAGTTCCAAACTGAAGAATGACTCTATAACTGAATTACCTCAAACTTTACAACCGATAATACTACAAGGTCAACAATAACTGCCATATTCAAAACATAAAAATAAATTATAAAAAATGGATGAAAGTTTTAAAACAAAGTAAACGCAAATCAGACCTAAATAGTCCTCAGCTATTACACCCTTCACTTAATCACCTGTACACTGCTCCTCATTACCCCCTAAAATCCTGTGCCTAATTCTTTAAGCACAGCACATATACCTAATATGCATCCAACACACAATACACATGAAGTCGATGTGACCAATTCACATGGAAATACTACATCTCCTAACTCCAAAGTCCAAACAAGCTCTCCCACTACAAATGGACACCAGGAAAAAAGCTTCAATGGAATTAAACACAAAGAGCACACCAATGGGGATACAAATTTAACAAATTTAAATGGAAACAGCACACCACTACATCACACAAACGGTAACTCCAATGGTCATGGCTATCAGAATGGTACAAGACGTGATTCTACACAAGCGTGGACACCTCTGCTATCAAATGGCAGTAACGCCAATGGTACTACTAATGGAACTACTAAAAACGGAGAATTAACAGATGCCACCACAGTGCTCTATGGTTCACCGAGTAACAACAACGAGTGGAAAGATGCAGAAGAAATAAATAATTTAAAGAATGGACTTTTGCATCATCAAACAAATAATAATGGTTCATTACTGAATGGTAAAAATGGACTTGGCTTAACTGATAAATACGATGAACAAGATCCACTCACCGGCCTGTACCAACAAAAACCAACACGCCCCAGTGAATCCGATGAATATGATTATGATTCCGATTTGAGTGGTGGTGTTGAACGAAAGACGCCAACATGCGGTCTCTTTGGTTGTCGACCAAAGTGGGCTCGTAATTTTGCGTCTACTCACGTATTCATGGTGGTATTTCTGTTAGCTTACATACTTCAGGGCATGTATATGACCTACTTTGTCTCCGTGATCACAACAATAGAAAAGTTGTTCCAAATCAAATCGAAAACAACTGGATTTTTGCTTAGCGCCAGCGAAATGGGACAAATCAGTACTGCCATGTTGTTGACGTACTTTGCTGGACGCGGTCATAGACCACGTTGGATTGCTTGCGGTATGGTGCTATTCTCCATAGCAGCTTTTGCCTGCTCGTTGCCGCACTTCATATTTGGTAAGCAACTGATGCAGTCGAGTGCTTTATTTAGTGGCAACGCTGCTTTTCAAGAGCCAACAACACAAGCCAACTATGGCTTGAACTTAGATCTGGCCACACTAAATGTAAGTTTAAATCCTAATTCTAAGATGACTATATTACAAGATTTGAATCTCTGTTTGCCCGGTAATAATTCCACACTATTAAGCTCTGGTAAGTCTTATAAATATTTATTTTTAGGATTTGATTCAGTTTTCAACTTAAGTAATTTTTAGAATGTAATGAGGATCGCAAGATGGAACAAGCATCTCACTCAAAAATTACAGTTATAGTGCTCTGTATCTTTTTCGCCAGCTTACTAAGCTCAGGCATAGGCCAAACTGCTGTAGCTACGCTTGGCATACCATATATCGATGATAATGTGGCCAGCAAACAATCGCCCATGTATATGGCGATCACAATTGGTGTACGAATTTTAGGTCCAGCATCTGGATTTATAGTGGGCTCATTCTGCACACGTTGGTATGTTAATTTTACTAATCCAGGTTTTGATGCCAGTGATCCACGTTGGATAGGTGCTTGGTGGTTGGGTCCAGTTGTAATTGGCAGTTTAATGATGCTATCATCTATAGCTATGTTTTCTTTTCCGAAAGAATTACGTGGTAAACGTGCACCAAATGCTAATGGCACTGCTAATGGTGGAACGTCAGCAACTCCTGCAGAAGCAGAGGAAAAACCTAAATTGAGAGGTAATATAGTGGAAATTGACAATAATATACATTATATTTTAAACATATATGATCGAATTTTTTTTTATAGATTTTCCTAAGACTGTACGTCGTCAGCTTAGCAACGATATTTTAATGTTCCGCACGGCTTCCTGCGTATTTCATTTGCTACCCATAGCTGGCCTTTACACTTTTCTTCCGAAATATTTGGAAACCCAGTTCCGTTTGGCCACCTACGATGCTAATATGATTGCTGCTTTCTGTGGTATTTTGGTTATGGGTGTGGGTATTGTTATATCTGGACTTGTTATATTAAAACTCAAGCCATCTGCCAAATCCGTGGCTGCATGGATTGCATTCACAGCTCTTGTCTATTCAGCTGGTATGGTTATACTAATGTTTGTTGGTTGCAATATGAACGATTTTGCAGGATACAAACCCACAACGAAACAGACGTAAGAAACTGGAAGATAAATATAATCTGTGTCTTTTAACTAACAAACAAACTCCACCAATTTAGGTTATATTGCAAGTTTCTTGATCCGTTGCCAATGGTTAGGCGACGTCTTTGTACTTTAGAAAAAAGAAGACTAATTACTCCTTAACGTCATATTAAGAAACAACGACATCCATAGAGACCATAGAGATATATGAAGATGTTTAAGATAAGAATCTGCTAATATTTTTTTTTTTGAATTAAATCTTTTTACAAACATATAGTAGTTGCTCGGGTTTTGAAAATTTATTACCATTATGTACGACGATGCATTATTTTAATAGAAGAAAACTAGGTTTCAAAAGATTGTCTTGAAGAGATAATCCAAATATATGTTCTTATGATACATCATCACGATGATCTTCTTTTTCTCATTCACTTAATTTCATTATATATTTCTCGAAAATTAATTTACTGACATTTTGGCTTAGTTGAATGTCTGCCTATTGGATTATCTCGTATATATGAGCCTATGTCTCTCCATTGGATTATATCATGTACTACTATATATCAGAATTTTTTTAACAGATATTTTGATAAAATCAAAATTTATTTAGTTGAAGTGAATAAAATTTATTCTGTAAATAAATTCGTCTAAAGTATCTACAAGAAAATTGTCTGTTACACCTCACCAGTCTTCTAGACAATATTCTTAAAGTGCTTTAAATAATTCTATTAATTTAGTTAGTAATATTTTTTTGTCTTAAATTCGATAATTTTAATTCCGAATATTTACCCGATGGTTCTAAGGTAACCAATGTAGAATCATAAGAATCTATCCATAATAATTTTTATCTTTCCATAATACTATTTATATGCATAGGGCATATACGGCCCTATGCTCCTCCTAGGAGTTAAAGGATTAAATGTATATGAAATAAATTTTTATCGTCAACGTTAATATTAATTTTTTAAACCAACTTTTTTATAGAACTGCACTAATTGAACCCGCCTGTCCCGCAGTCTTAGACTGTACCTGCGATAAGGAAAACTTTGCACCTATTTGTGGTATTGATGGCAAAATCTATATATCATCTTGCCATGCAGGCTGCACAGTATCTGAAATGCGCAACATTGATAATCGCACAGTGTTTTCAAATTGCAGTTGCATTCCAGATTGTAAGTATTTCACATACCAATTGTTAAGTAGACTTAAATATTTAAGATATATTCTCTCTTTAGTTCCAGAGAGCGCTGAGACGTATAAAGCCGTCAGTGGTTACTGTGATAGTAATTGCAAAAATTTCATATTCTTTATAATAATTTTTACGGTTTGTGTATTTATGCATTCTACCTCGGAGGTGGGCAGTATGCTACTTATCATGCGCTGTACACATCCAAAAGGTAAGGTTTATGAAATTTATATATATATAGGTCAATTAAAACACTTCTTATAATTTTGTAATATTTTTAATTAAGACAAAGCTATGGCTTTGGGTGTTATACAATCAGCAATTGGACTATTCGGCAATGTGCCATGCCCGATTATATATGGCGCTGTTGTTGATTCAGCGTGTCTAATATGGAAGACCGTTTGTGGCAAACATGGCGCCTGTTCACTTTACGATGCGGATACATTCAGACATTATTTCTTAGGTAATTACATTTATTTTTTAGTTTAGAAAGATTTTTTAATTAAAGTTTTTTTCAGGCATTACTGCTGGCATTATGTTTTTGGCATTTATTATGGACTTGGTTGTATGGAGTAAAGCACATCGTATTGATATCGCACCAGAAGATAATGGTACCAAAAATGTTGATACTGATTGTAATAAATCAATGGTCACTCCCGATACAACAGTTTAAATTGTTTTAAGAAATTAACTGAAGTTGCGATAAAGAACAAAAACGCACAAATTTTAAAGTTAAATTGCAACTTAGTAAAACCTGCTAGTAAGTTGCTGGCAACTTCTTAAGACAGCAACCCTTAAGAAAAGATTTCCGATTTCCATATTGTTAACAGCGAAAATAATTGTTGATAGTTAGTTAAGTTTTTTGGTTTAAGTCTGTAGTTAATTTTAATATAGTCACTTATATTTTCCATATAATTAATTTTAATTTATGCAATAGAGTATGTCAATATGTTAAGGCCACACTTAAAAATATACTTCTACAAGGGTAATATAAACCTGCAAAAACTTTAAAAAAACAATTTTATAAAATTTATTATAATAAGTTTTATTTAACTATATAATAACCTTGAATATGCTAATAGATATAGTATTACTTCTTAATTATCCTTGCATACTTGGTGTACTTGGTGGGATTAATTGTAGTAGCTATATCATTCTAATTGCCTACAATGTGTTTATACTCTGTCAATTAACTCGACAAATGTGTGACAAAATAGTGCATTTATACAAAATCCACACAAAATATATACAAAAATGTGCTAATAACGTTTGATAAGTATAAGTGTAAACGTTGTATGAGGAAATTCCTAATTTTATACTAATTGGATATAGGTTATGTTATAGAAAAAGTCTATAGTTATGGCAGATGGAATCAAAGTTAAGAAACTTATAACCTCAACTCATATGTTACAGTGTATTATTTACAAATTATTCTTTGTTTCTTTATAAATCCCAATCACTGAATGGTAATGGTTTTTAAAATTGCATAGTAAATCTTTCAACGAAACATTATTTACACTGATTATGAGAGGTAAAAAGCATTTAATTATTTTATAAGGAATATAATTATAATTGTTTTCTTATAATAACTGATTTACACCTATGACTAAACCAAATGTGACTCAACTTTAGTAATCTTTAACATACATTTATTTTATTTATATATTATAAATATATTATTTTATATATATGTTATATATAAATATTTATATATATTTACATTGTATAGTTGGGCATTTTCCGCTTCTGATCTAGACTAACTTTTTCACACACACACAGTCTCTGATAGCATGATCTCCAACTTACATCACTAAAGCCCAAATAAAATTTATTAACTGCCTACTTTTTCTTAATCAGTTATATATACATACATTTTTTATGATCACAATAGAATATGATTGTAAAAACAGGATTTTAATGTATATGTGTAAACTCAATTGTCGGAAAAAAAATTATTGTACTGTTTGTAGGTTCCTAACATGGTAAAAGTAGATTTAAATATGCTACAGAAATTCGTCGGGCAGTAGGATCGCAACCAGAAATTTGCGGATCAATTTGGAATGAGCGTAAAGATAATTGCAGGGAAAAAAAATTATCTTATTAATTAGTCATGATACATATATGAATATAGTCCTCCGATTCATTTCTGAATAGCCCCTTCCGTAAAGATAATTGCAGTTAAAGAAAATTACCTTATTAAGTAGTCATGATACATATATGAATATAGTCCTCCGCTTCATTTCTGAATAGCCACTTCCCTGGGTATATGTGCCTGCCGACACTCAACAATATTAACAATGGTTATTTTGTGAATCTCTAATAGAATAATTTTCATCTAAAATCACTAGCAACCCGAAATGATCCTAGATAGTCACATCTACCTACTTTTTCTAGTGTCAAAAAATTATTTAAATTACCATTTGTCTAGGAAATCTGATGTTCCACTTTAATATACCATACTTAAACGTTATACTATTTGGGAATGTTGAACTTCTATAGGGCCATAAATAGCTCTTTAGCCCCACATATACGTGACTGTTTTAAACTCTAAAAGATTATTACAAATTATAATAACTCTGAATTTTCTTAAGAGCCTGACTCTCTTGAAATCATCACATAGGACAAAAAACCAGTAGACGAATTAATATCAAAAGATTGCATACACCAATTTTCCGAATCTTAAACGGGGACTTGCAATCTTATATAATTAGAATAATAATATAGTAAATGTATCAGAATAGAGATTAATTAGGGATCAATTTAAAGAATCCTTAACACGATTTTAATTATTAGTGTTTAATGTGCCCTGTTTTATATTGCATATTGCATAGTATATACACCTATTATTAGTCATTTAAGTAGTATGTATGTTTGTGTAATTTTAAGTACGTATACGTCTTATATAAATCTCAGTTATATACACAAATTACATATAAAAATATATATAAATATTTAATTTAAACTTTAAAACTGTGGAAAATATTTTTTTTTAATTAAGTTAGTATTAATTTAAAATAGATATATGTTTTCTCTAAATTTATATACATAAATGTTATGAAAATATGTGCAACCTATCTGTGGTAGTTAAATTTTAGTTACAATTTTTAATTAATAATAAGCTTAAAGGATATGCCAATATACAACATGGTATATATCCTTATTTATAATTATCAACTATTTCAAAAAAACAAATATATATATATATATATATGTATACAAAAGTAATTGCTAATAATATTGCAATTTATTGTCGAATCAAAAAAAAATTAAATTTATATTTTTAAATTATTTGAAAAAAATTTACCGAACTGCTGAATGAATAAATATTATTTAATACACATATAAACAATTATAGTACATCGATGTCTGTGTTTGTATTTTGTTAATGTATGTGTATGAAAATGTTTATCTACTAACTTATAATAAACGTGGAATAAATATGTAAAAAATTGTTTCGTATTTATTTATTGAGATATAGATGTTTACAAGAGGTAAAGTAGGACTTACAATAGTTGACTTACTATATGTTCGAAGGTTAGTACATATGAAAAATTGATTGGTTAATCGAAGAGATTGGTGAAAATATGCTAGTTCCATGAGCATCAAGGTCTAAGGTCTATAACCTCTAGTCTATTCAGACGACTAATTGCAGCTTACTCTGCCAACAAGGGTAAAAATTAAAGATCTCTGCGTTTACAAAAACAATATATAATTATCCTGTGTTATATGTTCACCACATATACATGCAGAATCCAAGATGTTTTTAAAATAAAGAATCAGCTGCTACATGTCTGTCACATAAAGACATCTATATACATATATGGAGCATCATTAAAATGTATATCAATCATTGAAACTATTTTTGACATTGATTATTGAAGCAACCTTTCAGCTCTATATGGTATCAGTATATAGAGCTAAAAGGATTCACTCTTATCAGCGTAAGTTCAATATTGTTTAATTCTTAAAAGGTCTGCACCTAGTATCTATAATTTTGACCCATATAAAAGCATCTTCTTATATAATCCATCTGTCTGATGTAATGCCAACTTACAGCTCCATACTTCATAACAGTGTCTATTCAAAGAACTGTCCCACTAGAGACTTAAATCTGCACTTATATTTTTTTAATACAAATTATATTCAATTTAGATTACGTTGGAGTAGCAACTTGCACTCTATAGCCGCTATAGTCAATTAAGGTTCACAAGCTTCCACTACGCACGTACTTTTAATGATTATTATAATTTATATATGTATATATTTTTACAAATTAATTCTATTAATTGTATTTCGAGAATGAACGATATTTGTCATTATTCGAAATAGCTGTATGGTCAGCCAATTTATAAAATAAATTAATTAGAATTATTTGTTAAATTTGAAACTTTCTCACAATTACCATCCCATATATTTTTAATAAAATTTATATAAATAATTTACAATCTCTTTTCGTAGAAACAGACACAACATTGAGAACCGAACAGATAAGTTACGTTCGAGAATTTATATCTACTATATATGTAACTTTTTATCTTTATTTTCAAAAACTATTATTAGTTCTTAAATCGGAAACTATACTATTTAAATTAAAAATTATATTAATTCTCTTAAATTAATATATTAATTAATGGAATATTCATTACTTTTTTTACTATTTATAATTAAATAATTTATTTTTTCTCGTTAATTTTAAATACAATTTCAACCTTTTATATTGACATTTTTATATATAAAAATCTTGAAATTTCCTAAAATCTATACTTTTTATATATAACAAAATTTATTTAAATTGAGTTTGGTCTATTGTCGTTTTAACAAATAAAAACAAAAATTATGCCTATGAGTTGGACACGTGAACAACAATTAATAAGTGTCTCAATAACAGTTTTGTAAGAATCAAATAATAAAAGAATTATTGAAATCTTAAATAATTTTGGTACAAAAACTAAACAAATTAAATTGTTATAAAAATGGGATAAAATAAAATATAATTTTAAATCAACTTTCGGGCGCCCATAATTTGAATGTACGATCAAATGAAGTAGTGACTATATGCTGAGAATCGGGTGCAATATCTACAGCAACTACTTTGCCATCATGTCCCTGCAGTGTCTTCAATGGTTGCCACGTTTTATTTGACCATATCTTTGTAGTGCAATCATAGGAGGAGGTTACGAGGAAACTACCACTCTCACGTTGATATTTAACATCAGAAATAAGATTAACGTGTGCAGGTATAGTGTATACTGGTTGTCGTCTTCTTAAATCCCATATTTTACATGAATTATCCTGTGAGCCAGTGGCTATATGAAACCCATTTGGTGAAAAATCAACACCGAAAATAGACCCTAAATGTCCTTCCAAAAACATGATACAGCGTCCTATTAAAATGAAATAGTTTTAGTAATTATAATTTTTTTTTAAATATTTCACTTTACCAGTTCGTAAATCCCAAACACGTCCAAAAGCATCTAGACCTCCTGTTACTATAACACTACCATCTTGTTGAAAACTAAGGCAATGCACCGCTTTAGCATGTCCTTCTTGATGCAAAACTTCAGTCTTTTGTTCCAAATCCCATAAACGCCATGAAGAATCATAACATGCTGTTGCCAAAAATCGTCCAGATGGATGAAACGCCAATTTAGATACTCTATGGGGCATATGGCCAGTTATATCAGCTATTGATTCCTCAGAATCAAAGCCCCATAATTTCACTGCACCATCATGCCCTCCTGATGCCATAGCGACAATATTTTTATCACTTTGGCGTACATTCGGCCGAAAAGCAACACCACCTACATAGGAGGCATGTCCGCGTAATGTCTGTAGCAACTCACAATTTGGTACTGACCACAACTTACAAAGTCCTGACCATGAAGAAGTTAACAATAATTTGGAATCATCACTAAATGCTGCTGCACTAACTGGACGGTTATCACCTACTTGACTACATTGTGGAACTAATGACTGTAAACGCTTTTGCAACTCTACCATTTGTCCAGCACGTGTAGCACTTGGCACATCAAGTGCTTCACGTGCACGCTCTAAACGCACCTTAGCGCGCGGCAGTGAATAATCAGCAATCCAAAGTCTGGCTACTCGCAACGTCTCTGGGCCTTCATGATACCATGTACTTTCTTGTTCTCTTTGCAACTGTTTACGTTCCTCCTCTTCTGTTTGCTTTTGCTTTATAGCATTTTCACCTAAGTTTGCTAATAATTCTTTCAGACGACGCCTTCTTTCCGCTGGTCCTTCGCCGAAATAGCAAATCGGTTCATTTAAATGTCGTAAATTACGTTTAATCTCAACATCATCAGTTGACACATTAATTTGTCTTGCACGTCGTTTTCTCTCAAACTCTTCAAGTAGTGCAACTTTATCCTTAGCAACTTCGGTTTCTAAATCGTAATATTCCTCATCGATTTTTTTCGCCAATACACCAGCCGTTGGTGGAGGTGCCGCCACAGGTGCAGCTGCAGCTGCAGCTGCTGGCTTTTTTTGATCTTCATAATCTTCATCTGAATCTATATCCTCCAATTGTGCCGCCGACTGTCGCTTACGTTCAGCTTCTTCCAATGAGCCGTAATGAATTGTACGCGGTCGTTTTACGTATTGTACATCTTCATCATCTGACATTTTTTTGTACTTTGTTAGAATATAAATTAAATTATTTCACTTTTGAAACCAAAATAAAAGCCAAATATATAACAGAAATCACACGAAAACCAAAAAGCGCTAAACGCAAAACACCGGTGGCTTCATATGCAGAAACGTCAAACAGGTTTTCTTTTTCGCTCTACGCACGGCAAGTTTTGCCGAAGAAGGTGACCGTCTGCTAAATTCGCTTTATATCGTATTTTTAAATTACATCAAATAATATTTATACAGTAATGAATTTCATCACATAAAGTAAATAAATTGTAAATTAAATAAATTTTGTGTGAAATAAACAATCTGTTTAAAAATTAGGTTATCTTTACCATTTTTATGTAATACAGATATTCACAATATTACAAATAAAAGTGTAAAATAAATTCATTATTAATAAATATATCCAACCTTGATACTAGTGATATTCATATATATTATTTAACAATTAAACAGATTAGCAGAAAAAATATAAAATGACAAACATCTGAACATAGTACCTTACTAATCTTTCTTGGACAAACTTGTAAAAACATTGCTAAAACCAGCTAGTTTCGTTATTTACTTATTAAGTTGTAAGTAAAAGCAAGAAAAAATGGACACAGAATTCAAATTTAAAGTTCTTTGGTAAACTTTTAATATTTTTTATATTATTTTTATAAACTCCACAAATTACGTATTAAATTTATTTTATGCGACATTTTACAGTAATAAGAATCAGCTGATGTTTTACCCAATATCCAAAATATTAGTAGACTTATGGACTCAGAGATTCGAAAGTTTGGTGGGATTTATATACAAATACACATTAAATTTACCACTTTACAGAGTTCCAACACTAATACGCTTATTTATAATAATCGTATAATAAATAATAGTGGTCAGAAATTAAGAAATTAAAATAATTAAATAGGATTAACTGTTAAGATAAATATGTGGAAAATTTTCCTCTCTAAATTATTTCTGTAGAAATAAACTCAATTCAAATTTAAGACAAATTTAAACAACCATTTTACTATTTTTTATAATTATATGTCTTTTTAATCTTTTAATAAAAGTTAAGTATTCGAAATCTTATATATTATGTTTATACGCATATTACAGTACAAATCATATTTACTTATGATTTATATATAAACATATGATTTTACTGTATGTTCTACTTACTATATAACTAAACCGGTATAACCATAGAAAACCATAGAAATATTCACTTTGTCTTGGAAACTCATTGCAAGGTGCACGCAATGCACGAATGCTTTACGAAAATTGCAAGAGTATGTGAACACCTTTGTTGCAGAATTTCAACATAAAAATGAAACAGCTGTTTTTGCTGCGTAGCACATCTATATGAGAAGCAATAGATGAAAAAACAGCTGTTTCTTTCCTTTTTTGTTTTGTTGCAATCATATACATGGGTTTAAGTATAGCAAGATTGCAAACAATTGCAAGAAACTTGGTATGTGTATTTTGTAGTCAATTGCAAGCTCGCGGAATCCATGCATTTTGCGTAACATGCAATGAGTTTGCAACCGGAGTAAATACTCCTAATGTTAACGTTTTCTTTAACGTAAACTTAAACAGAAAATTAAAGAAAAATATTTAACTTTCAGATCATAAAATTAATTATCAACAGATGAACAAAAAAATATATATATTTATGTATATATTATATATCGTATATATCAAAATACGATAGACTATTTCTTTTATGCATGCAAAAAATATTTAAAAAAAAACGTGTTTTTTGAAAAACCCAATGTCTATTATTGAAAATTTTGACAGATGGAGTGCAAAACAAAATTTACACCCTGTGCACGTCATTTTAAGTTAGGCGAAAATCGGTCAGGGTGGTATTATTAGCAGTCGCATTAAAATATCGAAAAATACCAAAAATAAAGGGGTTTGGACTAAAATTTGTAATAAATATTGAAAGGATTATAAAAACTGTACAGTTAAATTAATTATTTTATCTAAAAAGTGATAATTTTCTTGAGATAATTTACTTGCGAATTTTTGCACGGATTCGTGGCAAAAAGTTTATTTGCGAATAAGACGAAAGAAAAAAAACGGGAAATCAAAGCGAAAAAGCAGTGGCAAAAAGTTTTTGTGGCAAAGTGCGTACATTTTGAGAACTGGGGGAAAGGTACGTCAAAGTGAAATTGCGTTTTAGGAAAAGACCATAAACAAAACACAAGAGCTATAGTATTACAAAAAAAGACTATTAATATTTTAAGGTTTTATTAACATTGATAAGAGGGAATTGTGTATGGTGCCATTAAATACTGATATTCTAAGCAAAAAAAGAAAAAAATTTAAAAAGAAACGTGCAATGGCAGAAAATTGGCGTGGAAAAGCCGTGTCGATTGAATGTGATAATGAGCTCGGCGTATTTCAGGGGGTTATTAAGACCACTACGGAAAATAGTATAACAATCGGTAAAGCATTTCGTAACGGCATACCTTTAAAAATACAAAATGCGGAAATTACTTTAAGTTGCAGTGATATAAGAAAAATTAGCGTAATACCAGTTGATGGTCAATACACTACAACGCCAACTGTGATTAATAAACCGAACCCGCTTAGGAAACCAAATTATTCAAATCCAGTATGGAACTCTACAGGTTTGCCATCCTCACAGGCTGTGCCGCCGTTTAATAATAATCAAACAAACTCAAACCAAAAGCAGCAACGCACGTATACGTCCAAAGGAGAAAACTCAAACTTTGTTCAAAGGTTCAATAAATTGGACGTATCCAATAGGTAAAGTATTTCACTATCACAACAGTGAGAGTATATGCACATTTTTTTAATATAAATATAAATTAATTAGTTTTTTATATCACAGTGAGTTCTGCTGTATGCTAGGCTTAGTAAAAATATGGTTTTCCTTTGAACTGTTTATTTAGAAGACACATTTGAAGACTTTAATAAATGTACCCAGTATCATATAATGCACATGACATTTTTCTAAAAATTGAATATTATAAAATATATAAAATTTCAAAATTTTTTGAAATACGTATGACCAGTTATATACGACGGAATACTGTTCAAACGGCAGTTTACAGTTCTTTTCACATATGTGTATCTAATAAAGTAACTATATATATCTTATTGATATCCGTTCCTAGATAATATCTAAGAAAAATAAATATAGAGAAACCACTATGAAAAAATTAGACGATAATAAAATAAATTTTACATAATCGTGATAAATATCATTAAATACTAGCACGTATCGTATTATTGCTCTAAAACATAAAATAGCTACCAATAAAAGTGTAGAACATTTTTCCATAACAATATTATTAATATTAAATAAATTTTACAGAACGCCAAATAAAAATGTTTCTAATGATCTCCCGACGGCTAATGGCACAAATGATAAGCCTAGTGAAACTAATTATCAATCGTCCCAAACACCTACATCCAACAGTGTCGCACAATTTTTTGGGAAACTAATTCCTCCTAAGGTGGAAGTGCTAATGGGTGCTGCCAGTGTAACAACAACTACAACAACGACGACTGACGTAGATGCAAACAGTACCGAAATTAATGATAGCATCGCAAGTACTAACAGTAGCAGACCAATTGATATTCCTAATTCAAGTAATGGTTCTTATTATGGACAATCGCAAAGTATGGCCAGCTCTTCTACGAACAGTAATGGCAAAAATCGCTATATGGGATATAGCAATGGGTATGGAAATGGGAATGGCAGTAACGGGAACAAAAAAAATAACCGTAAGAATTTTGGTAAAAATAATTGGTTTAAGAAGAGACAGACTTTTGATACATCTGCGGATGATCCAGGAATGCATGAAGAATTTGATTTTGAGGGTAATTTAGCGCTATTTGATAAGGAAGCATTATGGAATGATATTGAATCATCAGAACAAAAAGCACTAGCAAGGCAAATGGAAAACAATCCGGAACCAAAATATCGTCATGATGAAAATATAATTGAGAGTAAACCACTAGAATTGCGCCAGATTCAAAGCTCCTTTGCCAGCTATAGTGAATACTTAACGGGTAAGATTTGTATGTAAATAAAATTTAATAAAGATATAACTAAGAAATATATATGTATAGATGACGGTCTTATCATTCCCACCATACCAATGTATGTTCGGACGAAAATAGAAAATATTTCAGAAAAAAGTGGCATGTTGCTTTCCAGACAAAATGAAATACTGGCACGTGGTGTTTGTGATTTGGCTATATTATTACTGGGTGGAGCACGTCGTTTAACGCCTAACAACAGCCACCAATGGCCAAAAATTGCTATTATTTGTGAAGCTAGGATTAATGCAAGGTTCGTAGTTATTACAAAATTATTATTAATATTGTTGAATATTGTTTCGATTTATTTTACAGATCAATTGATATTGGAGCTATTACAGGACGACAATTAGCATCTCACGGTCTAAATGTCACTCTATACCTTGACGATAAAATAATGATGAAACAAAATACTGAAATAAAATTATTTCAAGCGACTGAAAACAAGACAACGGACACTGTGGGTGGTAAGTTTAATACTATTTTTATTGATATCTTTTATATTCCTCTGCGTGCACCTCATTTGTGCCTCACTGGAAAAACCACATTTTTTTGCTTAAAGTATCACAGAACGCACATCTGCAGATCTTTTCTACGTCGCTTGAATTTTTCTAAGCTGAGCTAAAGAATAATTGAAATGACCAAACTATTGTGAGGAATACTTAGGTTGCTCTAATCCTTATTTACTGTTACTAGTTGATGGTTTTAAGTACAAGCACAAGAAACGTATAACTACATTTTATAGTTTGTAGTAGCATAGTTTAATAATACTTAAAAAGTAGAATAAAAATATTTGTCTACAATCCATGTGTACTTTACGTATGTCAGTCTCAAGAGCGTCGCATTTAGGCGGTGCTAATATACTTCAAGTTCAGTACAGCTCAGTGTCCATCCTCAGAAGTGTTTGTGCCGTAAAACAGCAGTCCATAAAAGATATCGACCATGATCGCTTAAAATCAAATTTTTTCTTTATAGTTTTTTTTTTAACTGACCGTTATGCAGTTTAGTTTATCTTAATTTTTAAAATGGTTATATGATTATTAGCGCTTCAAACAGTTCGTGACTTGCAGCATTTTGATGTTCAAGCACGCTTGTACTCGAGCCCAGCGGTTCACTGGAAAATGTTCGTACAGTTAAACTATTCAATCCAAAGAGTCGATTTCGAAAATACGTAAATATTCCTGCTGGAATATTGCAGTGTTCAAACAATTTGAAGTGTCCCATAAATATTTTGATTATAATCAAGTTTTAAAGCACTTGTACTAACGTATTTATATATTGATTTTTTTTTAGAAATACCAAGTCCTGATCTTGTGATATTATCAACAAATTCATCAGTTTTGGCTCAAAGTGTCAAAACTTGGTTAAAGGAGACACGGTAAGCTTTAATAATTTATTTATGAAAAGAGTATCAACTTATGTGATGGTTTCTTTTTCAGTGCTTCAATACTTTCTATTGATCCGCCTCCGAACGGTGTGCCTGGTGTCTCCATTAAATATTCAATTTTACCAATTTTACCGTTAAATGGCATATCAACGAACAATTGTGGTAAACTGTATTTATGTAATTTGGGAATACCCGATATATATTTTCGTGAAGCAGGCGTCAAGTACAAAAGTCCATTTGGACATAAATCAATTTTACCAATACATTTAAAGGACTGATTAAATAATTGAAAATTAACAAACATAAAAATTAAAAAAAAGAAAAGCAGAATTTTAAAACCACATATAACAATTAACAAATACATAAAACATACACATTAAAAAAATAATTTTCATCGAAAATATGTTATAAACCTTAAACACAAAAACAAAAACTATACACTTAAGTAAATTATGAAAATCCAAAATTTTATCATTGGTTTGTTAAGAGAGATTTTTAAATTTGTTATTTGTAAAAAAAAAAACAAACGATTCTTTGTGATGGTCATCATTATTATATAGTTTTTCCTATTGGTATTAATTTAAAACAAAAATATTAGATATATAAAGTACAACAACAAACAGCCTTTTTTAAAGACTTTAAAAATTTAAATTTCGCAGCTAAAACGCTTCATTTTATTCCCTTTTTTTATTCAAGATATTTTTTTAAACGACGAGTGCTTTTAATCACAATAAACTTTTTATTGTATTGTTTTTTTGTTTTTTTTTTTTTGTTTTTTTTGTTTTGTTAACTATTTTAATACATAACACAATTCTATAAATGCTCATGTTCCTAGCTTTAATGTATCATTCCTTTAAGATCATAAATTAAATTTCTAACGTCAAATTCTAAAATTTAAAATTTATTTATTAATAATTGCGAATATAAGATTTGCAAATATGTTTGTACTTTATATATAATTTTAGTTATTAAATGAAAACTGCCTTAATTTCAAAACAAAATATAATATTTTGTTTGTAGCAAATTTTTATACATTTTATAATTAAAATTCTATATTTAAGTTTAATTGTGTAGTTTTAGTTTTAAAACCTAATGTAAGGAAAAAAAATCAATTAGCTTTAAAAACTCAATATTTCCAATCTTCCGTTCTAAAAATAATTAATTATAAATACAATAAACATATTATATGTAAAACATTTCAAACTAAAACTAAATCTAATGTAAAGAAAACACTTAATTGTATCATAATATAAAGTAATGAATTGAGTTTGTAATTGTATATATGTACGTATGTGTGTTTGCTCGAAACTTAAATACTTACTATATGTGTATATATATGATATCTATTTATATATATGTATGTATATGAAGGATGAGACTTTCAAACTCTATATTATGTATCCATTTCAATGTAAGAGAAATTGTTATGCCAAATCATTTCTAAATGAAAAATTGTTTAAATTTTAATCTAGAACTTAAGTAAATTTAATATACATATATAAAAATTTAAATGGCAAAAGTAATGTAAAGTAACGTAAAGTAAAGTAAATTAACTTAATTTTATACCCATCGAATATAGATTCTAATTCTAAATTAAACTTAAAGCTAAAGCAAATGATAAAATTAAATGCTAAATTTATAATATGTAACTCAAGAGATTGTAATAACGATGATGATCATCAAACACAAAGTAACATATATAGATATATATCTAGACATTAGTTGTAAACAAATTTGTTAATTGAATGTGATTTTAAAGTAACTAGAAATGTAAAACAAAAGCAACTGAACTGTAAGAGACGACGATATTTGGAGGAGAGTGGGAAGGTTTTTAATAAGCAAACACAATGCAATTTTATGTTTTTGGGTAAAAAAAAAATATCTTAAATTTATTAACTGTTAAAATTGTAACTATTTTTGGTAAAAAAATGTAAAATTATAATATAAATTGCAGTGTATTAACACATGAGCATAAAATTTTCGGTAAAACAAAAAAATTAAAATAAATTAATAGATCAAAAGTTAACAAAAGCAATCAATCAAAAAAAAAAAACAAAAGAGAAAGGAAAAGACAAATAAAAATAGTAAAAAAACCTTCTCATGGGAAAATGTTCGTTTTTATTTTTTAAACTGGCTTTTAAGATTCAATACTATATGGTAATAACTTTTTATATGTCAATAATGTTATTGTTGTTGGACTTCAGATTATAAAAATCCGCGTAGATCTACTGTCCTTGCGAAGGAAGATACCCCAACCGAAATGATGGGTAACATGTGATCGTCCTGCAAAAGTGTCTCCAGGATGTAGATTGAAGAGTCGCTTTTAGAAACTACTATAATGTATTCTCTAATATAACTAAAGTTTGTTATGAGACTTTTATGTTTGTGAACCTATAAGGATAGATTCCTAATATAAAAAAGGAAACATAAAAGGATTACAAGACAGCGAAAAAAATAGTTGTATGGGATGAGGGTGTGTGCTAATTGAAATTAATCTTGGTCGAGGTAAGGAACCGAAAGCAAGGGTAATAAGAACCATTCGGCATGCATTGGAACAGAAAAACAAATGGACGAATTCATGAACAATAAAGCTGAAGGCGTACGACGTATTGAAAACTGAGCCGCAATTTGGGGTACAACAGTTATCGCTGCACAAAAAAGGCGTCTTCTTTCCATACAAGGGAATGACTATAGATTGTTTTGCTGCAACTTCGGTATAGGGGTAGTTAAATCACTTCTATATTTGACCTCACTGATCTTTGTTCCGGTGGAATAGGTGGTGATGTATTGACGGTACGAATAAAGGGATAAAATGTAGTAAAAGGTATTTACCGAGCCTAGCACACCAACAGCGACAATACCAAGAGGTATGTGTCATTATCCAGGATAATATTTAATAAAGTATCAGCAATTGTGTAATTGTGTTCCATTTCATATATAAACTGCTTTAGTATGGAGGGCAGTTGACTACCATTTATATTCGATCTCATTGAGCTTATCTCTGCTGCAAAAAGTGTTGATAAATTGAAGATACGAAGAAAAAAATCCATATATTCTACGTGGAAGGAGAACTAAACTAACCTTGACATTATAACAGGGACAACACCAGCGGATATGTGTCATGTTTATGATACTCTTTGACTTAATTTTTTTATTTCGACGAGAGTCACATGAAAGTACTGGACACGGTTCATCCTATTTTTAAAGTGCATTAGTTAACAAAAGTACGTCTAACTAAGAAGCCAATAATTAATCTGAGTTTATATTTGTTTGGCTTGACTGAAATAATTTTAAGCTTTTCTGCTGTTGATCCGAATAAGCTATTAAGTTGATAGTATATAATCGTAAATAGTATACGTTCAATATTTCTACGTATGCATACTACCTGAAAAGCGAATGATACAATGCGTTTTGATAAGTCAGTGACTTTTTGAATAAAACAAATTTTTTTCGGCAAATAAACATTTTATTTTTCTATATAATTACCTTATAGCTTGATACATTTAGTCCAGCGTTTTTCTAATTTTCTTATTCCCTTCAAATAATAGATTTTCTCAAAGCTCTGAAAATACGCGTTTGTTTCGGTAATGACTTCTTCATTCGATTCAAATTTCTTACCCCTAGCCATTTCTTTAGGTTTGGAAACAGAAAATAGTCGCAGGGGGCTAAATATGCTGGATGTGGTAGCAGTTCGTATCCCAATTCGTGGATTTTGGCCAGTAATGCTTAATCAACACACGAAATTCACTTTTTTCCGTTTTCGTAAAAATTCACGAGGTTGTCTGCTTTGAACCAATTGAGCGACGTAGCTGGCTCAATATTAGAAAGTTGCCCATTGGTAGATTACAGCTAACGGCAGCACTGTTGCATTTGGAGTAACTACGCGGGAAATTCAAAAAGTCACTGACTTATCAAACCGCCCTCTTATATATTTCTATATTATCGTATATAAAATATTAATTTACTTTCTCTTGGCTTGGCTTGTCTGTCAGGCTTGTCATGACCGTCGTATCCCTTGTAACCAGGATAGCTACATACACTACATTTGCTGCCATTAATGCCAACTTAGTTCTTCTTAGTTCTTTTGAAATAAATAGTTTCATTTAATTAGTATTTGAAAGCAATTTTATTAATTTTTATGAGGACTCATGTCGATCTGCATGATTTTGATTACATGGTATATTACAGTTCATTTTCAAGGGAGTGTGATTGGAGGACATTTATTGTGTTATGAATTTAGTGAAATTAAATTTAGTTTTTTAAATTTTGGAAAATTCCTTGAATTACTTAACTAAGCATGTAATATTTAGATTGAAGTGCTATGTTTCAAAATTATCTAAACAGTTTATTCTAGATTAAAATATATTTTCATTGGAACTTAATGATGTACCGTTGTCAAATTAATTGCGATAAATGTACTGTGAAACAATTATTTAGTCTAATACGGTTATAAAAATGATATAGTTTCCAGTGGTTCTAATTCTAATAACTTCAACTAAATTGATAGTGGGTTGCAGTGTGAGTAATTTAATTCCAAACTTTAATTTAATTAACAAAAAAGTATCTGATCGTATTTCAATATGTACTTGCTACATTCGTTATAGTCTTGTGGAAAATACAATAATGTAAACAGTAATGAGATTAATGAAGCGATGTTGTTATAACCACGACTCTTCCATCGTTCTAACGAACTGTAAACTTTTAATCGAAGTGGTCAGCTGTGTTTGAACTTCGGATGGAAGTAGACCTCTTCGCAACTGGATTCGCAGTTTTATTTTTCGCTTTCCTTAGTTAGGTTATTCTCCAGTGTTTCTCTACTGATACTCATTTTCGATCAATCACAGTTCTTAGCCAGCATATATAGTCTCTCATTTGATAATACAGGTCATATTTTTGACAAATCTTAGTAATATCTTCAGCTAAAAATGTGTAACTTACTAGTATGTATACATAAACGGGATAACGAAAAACAAAGTTAAAAAATAAAAAAAAAAGAGTATAATTTTATATAAAAAAATATATTTATTGAAGAAATTCTAATATAAATTATTACAAATTTCTCAACCAATATTTGCGCTTACCATCAATGCAAACTATGGACCATACACGCATCACATCCCAAATATTTTTCATTATGGTTAGTAAACAACGTAGTGGACAGTAAAAATGCTGATTAAATCTTCTTAAGAAAAAAATAAACTTTCTATGAGCTGAGGCACTCACAAATATATACACTTCAAGCAGAATCGAAGCTTAACTGTTAACTGCTAAATATATGTGGAAAGGAAAAACAAATTAAGTTTCGTAAAACCCAGAAAAAAGTGTGGAACCCAATATTGGAAGCTATTTAACCATACTCACATGTGCTCGCTGTAATATCGTTAACCGTAATAAGTATATGTCAGTAGTTGTTCATTGGACAGATATCAGAAGTCTTACAGGACTACATTTACAACTCGAATATATTGCTATATTAAATATGCTTTTAGAGTGTGGAATATATTTAATAAATTAGTTTTAAAATTAGTCTTCAAATTAATTTTAAATAACTAAATAGAAACTACTTTAAGACTCACTTTTAATAGAATAAACTTCTTGACGTTGCTAACCCATTTCGCTATTGGCATCTCTTAATAGATTTTAAAAATATATTAAAATTTTAATAATTACTTTGAATATACATACATATTAAAAAGCATCTCCAATAAAATTATGCTGGAAAAGTTTTTCAAAGGCATATGAGATATATGAGAATAATATAAGCATTTATTTTGGGATCTGCTCACTCCTTGTCAATACGCTAAATAAAACTAAATTACTTTAAAATAAAATTATATAAAATGAATTATCACAGTAGTTTTATATTACAATAATTATTTTATAATGAAAAATTGCAAACTAAGTCATTATTTTAAAATAACCAAGTCATAATTAATTATTCATATCAGTAATTATTCAGTATTTATTTTTGTGTATATTAATTTAACTAAACCTGTGGTACATTTTAAATTAAAAAATTAATTATTTTTAAAATAAAATTTACCTACAGTTTATTTAAATTAAATTAAAAATAATATAATTATATTTGAATTTATTTTAAAATAAATTGAAATAATTTCTTTATAATTTAATTATTGTAAGCGTAAAAAATTATTTTCTAAATTTTTATTGCTAAATTAATAGTTTTTCATTATTTATTATTATTTATTATTAATTTATCAACTTTTATTTGAATAATTTTTTTTTATTATTATTAATTTCATTTAATATTTTTAATAATTTTTTTTATTGTATTTAATTTTTTCTTATTATTTTTAATTTTATTTTTATTTAAATTTTTTTTTTATTACTTTTATTTTGCTTATTATATTTAAATACTTCTTTAATATGATTTATTTATAAATTCCTTAAAAGGCTATTATTTTTTTTTTTACACTCCTTAAATATTTTTAAAAAACTGCATATTCTAATAAGTGTTAATGGAGATTTTATTTTTAAATAGATTTTAGATATATCTTGTATGACATGAAGAGCTTTTAAATACTATTAATGCCCTTCAATAAATAAATTAAGTATATATCATTATATTATATATATGAGTCGTTAAAATATTTTATGTATTAAACAATAGTAATAAATTTGTGGAAAAGAGAATATTATTTTATATATATATCTACACATATCACTAGAATTCTCACTAATTATTATTTTCAAAAAGGTGATCTATATTTATTTTAGGTACAACGACTCAATATAATAAATATATATAATGATAAATAAATTGCTTCAACAATATATCGTAATATAGATATTTTATGTTGTAAGACATACTGAATATATGTTATTTATTTAAATATTTTTCGTGCATATATCAAAATGATATATGTTAAATATTATATATTTCAAATTTTAAATAAGAAATTCGGCATTCCGAAGAGAATATCCTACTTTTCCGATATTTGGTTCGTATTCTTAGAACTTTCGTTATCTCAATCTTTTCTTGAATATGAATGGAAAAAAGCATTTTCTTGTGAAACTAATAATAAGATATTTTATAATAAAAATTGTTAAAGAAACTCTAGTAAGCTAATGCAGGAAGCTAAGTTCTTTAGATTCACAAATTTTGAAATTATATTTAATCAAGATAACATATCACTAAAATTAGACTGAGTTTTAATCAAGAGGTCAATGTTTGTGGAAAAAGAGCATTTCTGAATAAGCGGAAAATATAATAAAACAAAACATGAAAAAAAAAACAGATCATCTATATAAATATATATATACATACATAATTATATATATAACATACATTATATACATACCTAACATCTGTGGAGTGCTATTTATATATCAGGTTTGGTAGAGTTTATGAAAATGACTGAATAATTAACACTACTACTTGGTACAGCAATATGTTATTCACAATACAATAAACTTAATGAACGTTAATTAAGTTTGGCTTATTTAAATTGCTGTATCTATAATTTTAATAGATATTATAAAATTGTATCTTACTCAGTTAAAATTAGTTTCCCAAAATTAGTTTCTTGTATTTTCAAAATGTTTTCATATAAAGTGAATTGCACTTGAATTTATGGCTCATAATGACGATTTGCGAAGGTTCCACATCTCTTTATTATGGTGTCCTTGATATAATATATATTAAAAAAATAAAAAAAGGAGATCCTCGTTGTATACATATATTCAACAGTATTTTTTATATTTTTATATTTTTGTTAAGTTTATATATAAATAGAGATAGAAGGAAATACGATATTACTTCTCTACTTTAAAATAATTTGTAGTTATTAAATTCTATAGCAATACATACCGAGCAAGATGGTAATGACACTATTTGTCTTGTATTTGATTCAGTATATTTAATAGAAAATATTTCAAAACTGTACTCACTGGTGGCATAGAAGCAACAACAAGCTCATTGATTGGGTGATTTTGGGTGAAGTATAGCTATAAAAATAGCTGCATTGTTTGCACAACTCGAGTGAGAGTATAAATACGTACCCAGTACTTAATAAGCTTTTAGAGATCTCTATATCTCTATTTCACTAAGTTGTTCAGCTTGAGTACTATAACATTTAAACCAAGTACAAAGCATTTACATGCCCTCTAATTGGCTCGAAATATACGTACCAACTTAATTGAATCGATACTGCATATTAACAAATTTACAGTTACAACAAATGTTCCCGTTTTTAATTATATACGTAAAAATATTCTTTTGATTTGCTGAAATGAACAAATTAATTAAGTTCATTGTTTTTCGCTTACCCCAGTGCTTCCATTATAACATATATTGACTAAATTGACTACATACCAAATAAATCGAATAGTAGTGGATTTTGTTCTTTTTCTATAATCGAGAAAAAAATTGCTTTATTGTGGAAACAAATTAAAAATTAATTATTCAATATTAAGTTTACATAAATTAATTTAATTTAAATATTTTTATGTTCTTTACATACGTGCTAATAGGGGATCGATCGAAAGGCACCTATACACGCATTATTTTTGCAATGTATTCGATATGCCACTGAATGTTCCATACAATAGTTTCAAGCACAAAGTGCTACACAGTTACAGGAAGTGCAACAAGTCTGAAGGATATCACCCAGTAACGATCTTTCAAGTTAGATAAATAGTTTCTAGCGTCTGTAACGATCTCGTGAGTGGGATCTACGCCTCGAATTCATATTACGTCCACGTTCCCTAGATCGTGATCGGGAACGTCGTCCATCATTACGTTCTCTTTCCTTTTCTCGTTCTTTCCGTTCAGATCGTTCGCTACGTTCACTTCTTTCGCCACCACGACGGCTACGCTCTCGTGATCTTGAACGATGTACACGTGAGCGACGATCTAATTCTCGTCCGCCTACAAAATATCTTGAACGCATTCTATCTTCTTCGCGTTCATGAATTTTCCCTGATCTTTTTAATTCAGCTTTTCGTGGTCCAGCTGTTTTTTCCAATTCAATAAGTTTTTCGCGTATAGTTAGGAAACCAAGATGCAATTTACCACCGAAATGATCAGCTAACCGTATATCATTATCGTGAATACCCAAATATGCTGAACAAACTTCGCATACACGCAACTTTTGTTGTTGGTACGTCGAAGCTGGCATTGATGTACGATACTCATGTTCAGCTTTAATTTTCTTAGCTCGCAATTCATCTATTTCTTTCATTAAAGCCATGCTTTCTTCAACTTCACCAGCTTCACCTAAAGCTTCAGCTTTCGCTAACTTCTTACCAATCTCTTCGGCCAATCCATGCACCGCATTCGCTTTTTCCGCTACTTCTGCAGTTAACTCCTCTTGAGTTTCTTTCAGTCGTTGCTTTGCTGCTTCTGTTCTTCGATCACAATCAGCAATAAAAGCCTGTAGGTGCTCCATGGCCTCAATATCATAGTAATAATCACGTGCTTTTGCTGCATTCTCATAATCTGCACGAAATGCTAAATCATGTACTTTTGGGCATTCTCCTAAATCCATACGTGTTGAAGCCAATATATCATGTGGACAGCAGTCTAATAAAAAACTTTTACATACACGTAGATCTGAAAATTTCAGTCCTCGGCCGTCTTCGCCATTTCGTGTGGTACCCATTAATTGATCAAGCATTGCTCGCATTTGATCCGTTGCCGACATATTTAATATGTTATTAAATATACGTTTTTGTATTAATAAATTAAAATCTCTTTTGTGCTGATTTTATTATATTTTTCTTTGCTCCGAAAATTATTTCTCTACCTTGAAAAATCGACAATTTTTTCTTTTCTGCAGTGATGCATACCAACTGTGACGCCTAAAACAGTGTTGAGTAACATACAAAAAAAAAACAAAAGGGCCTTAAAATTTAGTAACGCACATAATAACATATAAAATATTTAAAAAAACTATGGTACATGAAATATATTTTAAAGGATTAAACAATTTCTAATTTTTTTTATAATTATATACTGTAAACAATTTTTTTATATAAAATATTTTTAATGCTCTGGTTGTATTGTAATAATTTTCATTGCAATTATTTCAAAAGAATTTTTTGATAATGTTAATAAAAAATATCCGTAGATGCGATAATATTTTATATGCAAGTAGCTAATGTAACTTTGACTTTACTAAAAACTAAAATTTTATAATAAATATAACATTTATTATCTGTCATTTTGAAAATATACCTTTATATCTTACTTTGTTTTAAAGCAAATCTATTTAAAGCGATGTTTAACTTATATTCAGTTTTATCTCTAAATAGTATATTATTCACCACACTTATAGTCTTTTCAATTTGTAAAACTGACATAATTTTTTCAATTGAGCTTTACTTTTAGTGCAATTTTCATTTTTGATTGGAAAATTTGGGGCATAATGTATAACAATTGATATTAATTTATATACATATTAGCTGTAGTTTTCAAAAAAAGAATAAAATCAAAATAATAGGGGCTTTCGGCAGCTTTTAAGTGTGGCAAAAAACAGCAAGTTGCTTACTAAAGGCGTTAAACCTGATATTGGCAGCACTGTTGCAACCTGTCAAATATTACGTTTTCGCAAAGAGCAAATCTTGTAATTTAAGAATGCGTTGTCATCTGACGACAAATGTTCAGATAAAGATATATTTTTTAACTTGATATCATTTGGAAAACGGATAAAAAACTAGATTTAAAGGTTTTATCGTGAATGTTGTGTACAACTACACAGAAAAAAAGTTATATTAAATATGTTAAAAAATAACAGAACAAAATATTGTGCATGTATTGGTTTCATCACCTTTTTAACAAGGCATGAGTAAAATTTCAATTTACTAAACGCATTCAACTGTGCGAAAACTGTTATAAAAATTAGTTTTAATACTCAGTTTTACGTATGGCGTTTGCGAGAGTAAATCTGAATTTAATCTAGATTTGCTCTCGATCTGTCAAATTTTGATGTCCAATTGAACATTTTTAGAGTAATATAACATTTTTTTTAATTGTGTTAAACATTTATATATTTTACAAATACATACATCATATCATATCTCAGTTTACCTGTTAAATCATAAATCATAAAAACAGTTGTTAATTTCAGGGCAGACTTGCTACGCTGGCAAAATATCTAGAGTGTTGTAAATTAATCTCGAGTGTTGTGCGTTTTGCTCCATATTAACCAATCGAAAATAAGAATTGCACTAAAAATACATTAAAAATGAATTTGGATTGAAAAATTACTCCAGATTTACCAATCGAAAACGCTATTAATGGTGGTATGGGCCAATGATTGCCAATTGCAAATAATTGAAGTGGTATGAAGATTTAAGTACCAACTGTCAGCTGATAGTCATTTTGAATTGAATTAAATTCAATTTTTGCATGTAAATGCTCTTAAAAATAATGTTGAAATGTATTTTAATTTGAATATAAAAGCGCGCGTAAACCTAACAGTAGTGTTTACTTAAATTAGTTATATTACTTTTGAATGTTGGCATCCATGTATAAATTTTTTTGATTTTAATCAAAAATAAAGCTATCTCCTTCTCCCACATAAGTGCAACTGAGCTTATGTAGTTAATCTTTTTTCACATTCAGTAAGATTTTTGACAACAGATGTGCGGATTTGTTTAACGGGAAAGTTCTGTCTGTGCTTTTGTAGTAAATTGTAATTAATAATAAAATAATGTAAACACATGATTATAATAACTTTGGGAGTTTTTTTTTAAATTTCGATTTAAATATATGATAATAGACTGGCTTTTATTATTTAGATAATATATGTGGCAAATATGCAAAAGTAATGAAATCTTGTAGAAAAAAAAATAGGTGAAGCGTATAAAAGCACGAACTCCCAAAGATAAGAAAATAAGTAAAATTTTAAAGTTTAAATAATTTTGAAAAATTTGAGATAAAGTCGTATAATTTTACAATCAATGTCTTGATAAAAAAATTATTAAAATAAAAATAGTGTGAAGTGTAAGTTTATTTAAAATATGTTTTTTTTTAAGTTTTAAGGATATACCATTCACACGACCGGTTAATTTAAGTCAACAACGTTTTAAAATATCTGATGACCTCTACAAAAGTATATGCCTGGTTAATTTTAACCCCTTCACACTTCGCTTATTACCAATTTTGTGCTGTCATAATTTCTGTGCTTCCGTTTTTTTTCGCTTGCATCTGTCCGTCTGCTTTCTTTATTGTCTAGCAATGGCCTTGTCAGTACTCGTACGTCTTTTGTTGTCTTGTCTTGTCTGTTGTCTGCGTTTTGGGGCCTATATTAAGAAAACTAAGACTCAAATTTCAATTGAATGTACATTTTCTGATATCTGATTTCTTTTTTATGTGCTTTATATATCAATAAACCTTTTTTTAATTTTAGAATATTTTATAATCAGTGCCGCTACGTGATACGTGCTTTTGCTTATTGTGCTTTAACGGCATGTCGTCCACATCCGTTTCGAGTGCAGTTGCTACGCCTAGTTCGGCACCGCGTCCGCCGCCGCGTCGTCGTGCAGCCTCTGTTGCTGGCCAGCAGCGCCGACCGTCCAACACAAGTCAAGAATTCGGGTATGGTCACACACCGAGGAGATCGCTAGCAGTTGTGGTAAGTCGAACTTCTACTTATTTTGCAAAAAATATTGCGAAATGGGAAAATGTGAACATAATAATCTCTAATCTCTACCACAAAATTAAAAATAAACACTGAAATGGTTTTAATATCCAAATTCGAAGTTGTTATCATTCGTAGTTAGAGAGGTTTTGCTAATAAAACAGTTTCTTATCTAATCAGCATAATTCGCTTTATAAAATTATTATTCGTTGTTTAACTTTATTAGATTCTTTTCTGTATTCAGCGGATAAAAAATAATTTTAATGAATCAGAAACGTGTGGAATTGTACGTGCTGAGCCTAAGATGGATTGTGGACGTGTGCAGCTGAGACGTAGACATTTGCTTGCTTTGAATTTGTCGACTGGAACAGACAAAGTTGGCAGCTTTTCGGTACAATTTTAATATATAAATTTTAATGAAATTCATTGAATTTCATTAGGAATTTTGCGCCCATAACCAGAACTCCCCACGGTAGGTGGATTCAGATTAATGACTGTTATGTCTGAGAAATTGTATAAAATTAAGGGTTGATTGATCTGAAGTGAAGTGTGTATTTTAATGAAAAATAGACGTAGATTCTTTTTAGAAGTTAGACATTTTACAAATATTGAAAGTGGAATATCCAAACTCATCACACAAATGTTTCTTCGTACTTGAACTTAGGAATCACATTCCAACTTCATGTGACGTTAAAAAACACCCAGTACATATTTTAATATGATTTTTAGGTTTGATTTTTTTTTAGGTTTGATTTTTGCGACAACAAAATTTTATTATTTTAGAAAGGTCTGACGTTCTTTGGCATTTTTAGCTGAGCCTAGATATCAGATAATCAAATTCTTTAAAGTTGACCATGTTGTCTCTCCAATTTTTTTTTGTGTTTAGAGTTTAGAGATTACTTCAAATCCATTACTTGTTTTTTATAAGATAATACACAACCCAATATTGCTATTCCGTTATTGACTTTTCAACAAAAAACTCAGATTTAGTACAACTACATTATATATAGAACATGAAACTTTTTAGTCCTACTGTTTTTGGTTCTTAAAACTACATTTATGTTTTGAAATATCCAACCATAGAGGCTTGTCTCTTAATATTCTTAATAATTTAAATAGATATAGTGTTGGGGTACATTATACAGTTTTCAGTGTTTAAATAAAAGATGTATAGAATTTTTAACTCATAATTACAATACATATTTTTTTTTTATGATATAAACCAGATAAAGTTTCTATTTGGATAAGATAAAAACAGACGTTGTAACGATTTCTGGTGCAAATAAACTTTTGGCTGAGGTATTTTTTTGCAATGAACTCATGTTTATTCTTAGGTAATCAAAAATAGCTTAACTTAAATTATATTCATAAAGTTCTCGGATTGCACAGTGAAACCTCTTTAGTACTACTAAATATATTTTATAAGTATTTGAGTATTGTAAGAAAGATATTATTATTGTCTATGTTGGGACTAGCATAAGATGGCTTGACTTTACAATTTTTGTAAAAGAATCCAAATCATTAGCGTAAACTTCTGTTACGCGAGGCATAACAATATCGCCTGAGTGATAAATCTTTTTAATAACATTAAAAAATAACATGCAAGGAATGTGCTCTAACCTTTTTATGTCCATAGAGCCCTCAAGTCATGTCTACCCTATTGAGTGAAGGTATTTTGCTTGATATTTTCTACAGTGGTTTTACTTTAAATCGGTTTATATTATTAAGCCAATGGTTTGCAAATTTCTCCTCCTCACATTTTCCTGCTGACTTTATTTAAGTGGAACTTTATGAGTACATAGGTAAAAAGGCTCTGGACCAATCAAGCGCATAAATTATTGTACATTTCTTGGGTAGGTTGTTGCTTAGATTAGTTATTTATAGATTAGTTATGCCTTAGGACCTATTTTAACACTAGATTATAGAGATTCTCTAATGTATTAAGTATGCTTAGGCAATTATTTACCATTTTCGAGGTAATCGTTTCACCCTGGAGGTTTTTTAATATCACCTGACTATCTGACAGTATGTAAATATAGGCTTTTTTAACTTCTTACGAAGGCTTTTCCTCACAAATATGGCACCAATTGAAATGATTTTTCTGAATGTAAGACCATTTCCATTTCGATCCATCTGTCCTATAAATTAAGTAAGTAGGAAGCACATTTGTAAACCAATATTTTTATATTCATCTACATATATATATATATGTTTCAACGTTTATATCAGTAGCTTTCGATTATTATGAGTTAGTACTTGTGAAAGGTATGGACGCTGCCATCTAAGACTCTATTTGTATAATTTCATGTCCTTAAGAAATATATTAGTTTTCTATAATGCATATAGTTCTAGAACTTAAATCGGTACTGCTAGGTGTAATACCAATTACCTGTTGGTGCTCTTAAGTCGGTATAAAGAAATTTAAAAAACGAATTGATGTGTAAAAATAGTTATAGATCTGAGAAGTTAAAATGTTCCTAGCATAAGTACCAAATGTAGCGTGCCTTACTTCTAGCGAATGAATTCAATTAATTGTATAAATATTTGCTTTGACTGGATTAAACGTTCATTAAAATCTAAGCTACTTTTGGTATAAATTGCCTTTTATATTGTTTTTGCAAACACTGACCCCAACAGAGCATTCCTCCTACCTGACTGCTATTATATATTATATGTGAGCAAGTAAGCCAATAATTCAATCATAATTTCGTTGAGGAAAGTTATTTACTTTTGTAATTTTTTGCTACTTTTCGTTAATGCCTAATGTGTCAATAAAATCATTGTAGTTTCTGCCTGTCAAGAATTATCAATATTTCAGTCCATCAATCATAATTAAATATTGAATCAAATAAATGTTCGGTGCTGCATCTAATTTGCGATTTCAGTTAACAGGTGTTTGCTTGTGATTGTCTCATTAAAATTAAATTATTCATTGTTTATTTAATAAAGCAAAATAATTTTATATTTATCTTGCACAGTTTGTAAAAATGTATAATATCTTTTGTAGTATATAAATATTTAAGATTCTATAGGTGCGCAAGCAATTGTGTTAGAAAAATAATTTTTTCTTTAATTAAAATAAAAAAAATTATTCAAATTTACTTGTTTTTTATTAACGTTCCTTTTCTTTTTGTATTCATTATATGCGATAATATTTAATTAAAATTCGTGTCAATAATAATACAGAAGCATACATGGTTTATTTACGAATGACAGTTGAAAGAGAATTCGATAATTGTGCTTTGTTTACGTTTTTGCATTCGCAGTATTGCCAGCAAGAAAAACATGTGGGAAAGCAAAGAAAAAATTTAACGAAACTTACACACGAAAGTACACACGTGTAACGAAAGTATTTTCCGTTCTCTCTGTGTAATTATTGAACTTAAAAATTGAACCCAACAATTTGTTTATTAGAATTTCGTTAAATTATTTAGAAATTTTTAAATTATTTAATGAAACTAAAATCAATTAATAAAATACATAAATATAAATAAAACCTATTAAATATTTAGTAAAAATTAAGAAAGATACATAGGAGTCTTAATAAAATATGAAAGATATATTACAATGTGGATATGCATATTTTAGAAAAGTAAAATTTATTGACGATACTTAATAAACTGATAAAATCAAGTTATTTTGAATTCTTTAATATATGGAATTTGGCAATATATCCGTATTTGATTTATAATGACTTCATGTTAGCCTTTAAACAATCTTATATTAAGTATATTTTTGAAGGAATATTTCCTGAACTGAAGATTGATTTTAAAATTAATTTAAATTCGTTATTATAAAACTAATGCTTTGTTTTAGTATGTGTTTTGTTATTGTGCTGTGCTCTTCCTTAATGTAATGGACTATACAACAAAAATAAATTATTATTAGTGAAAACTCACCTCAAAGAAATTTAATGAAGTAAAGTATTATTATTTAATATTATTTTGTTTATAATAGCTTTACTAATTACTACTTAAAACATAATTAGCACTAGACGAGACTTAAGGCTCAGTTAGACGGTGGGTAACGTAAGAAATTAATTCGAAGCGAAATGTACGACCAACCAAATCTGCGTATTTGATAAGAACGAAATAAACAAAACCGGTGTACTTTGTTTATTACGTTGGTAATAAACACAAGTTTGGTTGGTTGTGCATTTCGCTTTGAATTAATTTCTTACGTTACCTACCATCTAAATGAGCCTTTAAGCATAATATAGACGATACTATATGTATGCAAAATTAACATACATAATACTGCATTTACACGAGTGTTTTTTTTTTGTAATTTTCTATCATGTTTGTAATTTTAGCTGTTTATTGTTGTTGCTTTCAATGCAAAATGAAAATTTTTGACAGCTAAAATTACAATTAAAACTCTAGTGTGTATCTAGTATAACTTTTTCTGGATTTTGGAATATCCAGGATACGAATTTAGCAATTCAAATGTCTCAGTTATCTCGATTGACTACAGTTTTATTCAGATTCCGCTGTGTAAATAAATAAATTAACGTATATAATACTGTATTCACACGAGAGTTTTGTTTGTAATTTTAACTGTCATCTTTGTTAATTTAGCTGTCTATTGTTTAATGCAAAATGAAAATTTTTAACAGCTAAATTACAAACAAAAACTCTTGTGTGAATCTAGTATAATTTTTTCTGGATTTTGGAATTTTCAGAATACGAATTCAGCAATTCGAATGTCTCAGTTATCTGGATAGACTCCAATTTTTATGTGTCTGGACTAGCGGAGTTCTACTGTTAAATTTTTAATTTCTTTTATTGCATTTCATTTATTGAATCTTTTTAAATAGAAATTGACAATAATTTGGCAAATCTTCTATTATAAAACTAACATGTATGCTATTGAGCCAGGATATTCAATATTTATCAATGATTTTCTTTTAATGCGATTTAGTGCAATTGCAGAAGATAAGTTTCAAACAGGAAGATTTGGATACGACTTGTGTGTCTCTCTCTCTCGAAATTTAT